ATTAACTCTACATTCTTCCTGTATGGACTCGCGGCACCCACCCACTATCTGCTATAGTGAGTGGTAGCCACCGCTACGCCAAGTATCACCGCTGTGCCAATGTATCTTTTGTATAAGCTCATCATACAAAAGATACTTATACAAAAACATTAATATCTTCAACACAACATTGAATATGAGTAAGATATTAAGAATATAAGTATATTTCAATACAGAGAATATAGTAGTATTAAAGAATTTAAATATATCAAAGTCTTTTACTGTTAGATTGAAAATCACTAGTAGATTCACTGCTTAAATATGACTATTTTCTAGAATGAGTAGAATGATTTAATTTTAGTTAAATTCTTTGATACTACTATATTCTCTGTATGAGAATATACTTATATTCTTAATATCTTACTCATATCTGATGTTGTGTTGAAGATATTACGCGTAGAAGCTCTTCTTTTTTATATGAGAGAAGATCAGAGATTAAGAAACTTGAGATTTACTATATTCTCTCAACACTGATAATTAAAAAGATAATTAATATGATCTGGATTCCAATTTTACATACAATTAACCCTATCCAAGTCAAATTTCAATATAATTACTGTCTGGATTTTAAACACGTGATTGAGGATAAAAAAACGCGAGAATTGGCACAACGGTGATATTTGGCGTAGCGGTGGCTACCACCCACTATAGAAGATAGTGGGTGGGTGCCGCGAGTAATGTGAGAATAATGAAGCTAGGCCGGGGAAACAGATCCTGGTAAAATTTTGATAGTGGGGTTGGCGCCATCAACCTGGGTTAAAGGTGTGCAAGGTTTTCGGAGAGGACGGGAGCGCCATCCATAATCTCTACGGCGCATGCGTATGATAAGGTGAGCGCAAAGTATCCCATAACGGTGCTGGTTCGTGCCCGTCTGGCAGAATGAAGACGGACGATACGATGGTGTCAAGGTCCAAATCACGCTGTACGATCGCGTGAAGGCAGAGGGCATTCTTATGTGTGTGTCCGCCAGGCGTTATGTACAATGACATAAGGGCAACTCTTAACTCGGCTCCCGTCCAGGAATGGAAGGATGCGCTCCTCTATCTGCTTGTGTTGCTGGCTGAGCTGGTGTTCGCGTCCGTCCAGCTCAGTCTCTCGCTGGGCCAGCTGGGCTTCCAGCTGCTCAAGCTCCTCGATCGTGTCCAATGCCGCTGCGGTTCACCAACGAAGAAGACTTCCCAGGACTGAAGCAGAGGCCATACCCTCTTTCTCCAGAATCCTAGACCCCCTGATACCAAGTGGAAGAATTGAGCGAGTCCCTCTTGGGGATAACAATCCCATCACTCCCCCCACATTCATAGTTTGGAACAAGGGAAAACCGCGCGTGGTCGTAGATTTACAGAAGATTAATTTGTGATTGCTTCCCAACACGTACCCCTTGCCAACCCAGCAGGACATCCTGCAGTCGATGGGAGGTTCGACCGCGTTTTCATCGACGGATATTCGGCAGGGGTTTTTCCAACAGCCAATTGAGGAGCGTGATGATCGGCGGGTAGGTCCGTACGCAACTGGTCTTTGATATCGTTCGAGAGGGCTACACATATATTGGATATAGCAGCGACGAACTTGTCCGTGGTTCCTTCCACCTGTTGGGCAAGCACTTGGTGTATTTTGTCTTGGTCGTCTCATGGAATTTCTTCGGAATCATCTTCCAGACTGTGTAATTGGGAGAGAGTGTTGACATTGTTGTGAGAAGCATCTTTGTGATAACAGATTTGCATTCGCGGAAGATACATGCTGAGGATCAAGACCCAATTTTTCAGCTGGTTACTTTGATGACCTGTCGTGGGCGATTGGAGGGCGGATATGAGTGTGATGTGATCAGTCACAACGATGAATTCGCCGTCGAGGTACTGGGGAAGCTTCTTCAGGGCTCATTCCGTTCAAATAATGAATAATGTTCGCTATTCAGATATTTTGCAACTCGACCAAAGTTAATCGGGAGATCTCTGAGGATCATTCTCGATTAAGGGCCGTCCAATCTGGAAACGAAATAAATAAGAAAAAAACTTTTTAAAAAAATCTCCCCGACAGGGATTCGAACCCTGGTCTCCCCGTATAAGCAAACCCCCAAAGGATGCACCCAATCAGACCCCGGGGCCTAAGGAGGCTGCCCCCAAAAGGAGGCGAACAAGCAGGAATCATCGCCACTAGACCATCGAGGATATTAGCCGAGGTTGGCTACCTTTAATCATCAGTTGATTCAAAATCCCATCGCCCGGCATTTCAATTTTGCCCCGAAAACTGCGGGTCAGGTACGGCCCGAACCCTCCCTACCCAAACATGAGAGGGTCGCAATGAAAAGACGATATTAGTATTACTATTGGGCTACATTATGCCATCAGATATATTTAGGAGATAGTCTGGATCCCGTGCGACTCTTTCCGACTGCATAACCATAGATTTATATCTGGTGCTGATACCAGCTGACAGCTATATGTATATGTTACCCTACATTTACATTATCAGTAGTATCGCATATTAGACATTTCCACAGGGAACTATTATTATAGTGTTGGATTGGGGTTGAAATTGTAGTTTGTGAGCCATTTGATTTGTGTTTCAGAGTGTTCGGGGTAGGGTATATGTGCAAAATATTTCCATTTCTCGATTGAAGAAGGAAGAAGGTGTGCGAAAGGCAAAAACAAAAAATTAAAAAGGATTGCCATGTCATGTCCCTATATAATGCAGACCCAACAATTTCCCCTTGAAAGATGACATGAAAATGCTAAATTTACAATGGGAACCAAACTCCGTTAAAATGCGTATACCATGAATCTCAAACTGCAATCTTGATGTACTGTACGTGGAATACATAGAAAAGGGCATGTATGTTTCAGGCAACAGAATCCACCCGACGACGTTTATCTCTGTCCTGGTAAGGCGACGGACTTCGTTTTCTTCTATGCCTATCGTCGTCACGGTAGCGATCCCTGCGTCGTGGAGATCTGGGTGGGGTCCTGGATCGTGAGGGGGAACGCCGCCGTGATCGCACTCTTGACCTCGACCTCGACCTCGATCTTGATCTTGATCTTGATGCAGGCGGTGGCGGTGGCGGTGACCGTGACCGTTGCCGGTGTCGTGGTCGATCTCTGATGGCGCTGGAATTAGCACCCGTAGGACCGGATGGCTTATCCCTATCCCCATCACGCTGGTCAGGCAGGAATCTGTCATCGGTGATCCCAAACCGTGCGGCGTTGTTCGATGCTGCTGAGCGGTTGTATCCATCCACTCCCCAGCGCCCTGTGTCTTCTGTTCTCAAATCTCGATACTTCGTCCTGCCCTTTCGGCCAATCTTGGTTACATCTCTGACTTGTAGGTATTGCGGCAAAGCTTCGCGATTCTTAACCTCATCCATAAACCGGCTTCCCATGAGATCGCGGCGATCCAGCCCTGTAGCTTCCAGGTCTTCGTGAAAGAATGCCCCCTTGTGAAAATATCGTTGCATAAATCCAGCTTTCCCCCTTTCGGCTTGGCGCTCTTCTTTTTGTTGCGAAATGAACTCGCGGTCCTCACGCTCTCGTTCTTCAGCGGTGAGGTTTCGACGACGCTCGATCTCCTCGAGCTCCTTCTCTGCCTGCTCGATGACTTCACGCTCACGCTTGACGCGCTTCAACTCTCGGAGTTTCCACGCGGCAAGTTCAGCAGCCGGGTCTAGCCCATCAGTATCGTCTATTTGCTCTTCGTTCTCGCCTTCGACGTTCTCATCGTCGTCCCACGATTTCTTCCCCGCCGCACGCTCTGCAACCTCTCTCTCCAGTTGGTCCCGAATTAGAAGGTCGGCTTTCTCCTGTCTTCGAGCGCCTTCCTCTTCGTCTTCTGCAGTCGGATCGGCAGCAGAGGAGACACCCGGAGTTGACGAGTCCTTCCGCTGACTCTTTTTGATAAAAGTAGGCCGAAGTAATACCCGCCTAGGAGCTTCCTCTTCCGAGCTTGATTCCTCTTCTTCATCATCCTCCTCCTCTGAGCTTTCTTCTTCACTCTCCTCTTCCTCACTCCCAATAGCTTGATCCCCTGCTGCACGCGCCCCACGACTTGGCACCTTCACATCTTCCCCATTTTCCTCCTCTTCGGTGACGAAACCCGCTTCATCCTCGCTTTGCTCCTCTAGTTTCACGCCTTGAACTCCACTGGTGATTTTCGACGTGGCGCTCGCCGGGAACGATGTCGCCTTCGGCGGAGGCGCTCTCCGCTGTTCCCTTCGTAGCCTCTCCCGTTCTCGTCGCTGTTCTACTTCCTCATTGATTTCCTCTTCTTCCTCATCTTCTTCCTCTGAAGACGGCTCTTCGGCAATTGGTTTTCCCGGTCGATAGCGTTGTGGTCTTTGCGGATTCGCGGTCATGCGACCCCGAGACGACGGGAACGGAGGCGGCATGGTGGGTGGTGCGTGAACGGATGACTTACGGAGAGTAGGTTTAGGTGGGAACCATCATCAAGACGGTATAGTATAGTGAACAGAAACCCCGCGGCGTGAATAGAGGGATGCAGGTAGAAGTGAATTGGCAGCGAAAGAGGATTGGTCTGAAGCAGTTTGTCAAAATGCACCTTGCGATGATGTCGTTGGTCGCGATTCCGGAAATATATTCCTCCGGAATCCCGATACAAATAATACATTACAACCTCCCCAAACTTACGGGCAGATTCTCGTCGTTAGATTCCCTACGGATTACATATACCTAAATATACAGAATAGTTAATGCCATGTTGATAATACGAATAAATTCCGCTCTGTCCCGTCTCCCGTTGGTTTTGATAGAATGTTAAACTGGATGTACTGGAATGCTAAGCGGCGGAGCATGAAAAGAATAGTCGAAGTTTGACGGATAACGGACGTGATTGTTTTGCTCAAATAATATCCATCATTCTATTCTAACCCCTCACACATTCGGTGTGCCACATTTACTGAAAAATTTCCCCTAACCCATAGGAGCCTCGCCGCTGCAGCGGCTGCACAATATCATCCAAAATAAGGTGCGGTTCTGGGGTGGATCTACCTGCCCTTTGCGCCACGAATGCCCGTCATCTGAACCTGCTACCGCTACCAGCCGGCGCTTGTTAAGTTGCGAGGTCAACGTAACTTGGTAACAACAGTTTTCATTTTCAGTGGCGCTTCAGACGTCCACCTCCAAGCCCCGTAGCTTTATCTAGCGTGTAGCCATCCACGCATAAGGATGCGCTCGCTGGAGGCTGTTAAATCATCCATTGCAGGGGTCGGCAGTGGAGCAAAGATTTGAGGAGCGCGTATGAACGGATCGCAAATAGAGTTAGCTGGCTTTGGGAATTTATCGTATTTGCGTCATGATGCGGATTAGAGTCGTATCCGAGAGAGACTGCGGGTACCCGTAAAGCCCTGTGTACGCAGTTATTGAACCCAGGTAGCCGGCGGGCAAATCCACTGCATAAGGCGTAAACAGGATAAAAGATGACAACGAAAAAGCATGTCGTATGTTCCCTATTTTCATCAGCTGCATAGACGATATAAATACCCTTTCGAACGATACCCATCCATACAGCGGCTTAACAAGGAAGTAGAGCCCCCATAAAACGCCACTAACTCGTAGAAAAGGGTATGGGCAAACGACAGGAAGATCGACAGAGAGAAAGAGCAGCTGGGCGGGAAAGAGACGGTAAACTCCTAGCCAAAGCAGTGGGACATGCCAAACAAACTCCAGTACATATACAACGAACACCTCCCTCAAACTCGTAAATCATTCTCCCTTCGGTAAAAGAAAAAAAAATTACTTCACGCCCGCTCTTTCTAACATCTTCTCCCTCTCCATGACACTCTCTCCAAACCGTACCAAAAACACCGTCCGGCTCGGCCACATCTCATTCCCCTGATTATGAGCTGACACTTTTGCCTCAAAGCCACACCCATCGCAGACCCCTTCAATTATCCCGGCCACATATGCTGCACAATTCAGCATATTCATCTCACGAGGCACAGATATATATGTATTGACTAGCGGGTCGTTGTCGGTGATCATATATTCATTTGGTGTGGCTGGAGAGACAGAGTGCTCTAGAGCATCTGCTGGGCGGGAGAAGAGAAGACGCCAGAGGGGGCCGTGTATTAGATGGAGAAGAGGAAGGATGCGAAGGGGTCTGGTAGGCTGGGTGCCTGATGAGGACGTGAGGCCGCCGGATGAGGAGCTGGAAAGGGAGCGGTAGAGGAGAAGATCAAGGAGACGGAGACCTAGCGGGTAGCCTTGCTCGTTGAGGCTGCAGGATTGCAATGTATGGGTGGTTAGTTGGGCTCTCTACTAGGGATATTGGAGGATGGTCCTGTTAATGAGGACGTGTGGAGTATACACCTACCGTCTCTCCAGGTCCTGTATTCCCGTCACGCGACGCTGAGCATATATGACCATCTCTGAAAAAAGGTAAGCGAAGCTTGCCTTGCTGAGCTCCGAATTGCGGGTTCGGTTAAGATTCCGGTCGTAAATAGTTTTCTTGTTCGAAGGGACGCGCAACCCCGTAGGCTGGGGTGTGCTTCTCGACCGGAGCTTTTCCTGTGACTCCCCGACATTGTTGGCCGTGCTTGTGGAGGAGGTATGGGTGTGTTTGGTGGGAGATGCCATTGTATCGGAGGAAGAAGGGGGAATAGGGAGAGTAGTCCCGTGCGGACGACAGCGGTGTTCTGGAAAATGGCTATATCACGGCTATTGGGATGTTGCGGCTGAGACCATAGTAATGCGATTGTTTAACGTGATTGTAGGAAAGATAAATTTCCTGTCCGCAAGGCCTTCACTTGTATTTGTCTGCTGAGCTGTGGTTAAATGCTCTCGATCTCCGTCCCAATGAAGCTCAACGACGTAGTTACCACAATACGGTGGGCTGTTGGGACACATGCGCAGTCCGCCTTCCCTGCCTGTAGGTATGAGCTTTGACGGCTTCTTTTCTTCCCGTTTCTTAAGTAGAGATAGTTATACTCGGATTAAATAGTTTACTTCGTATATTCTCTTTTTAAATTATTTGTGTGCTGCAACTATACCACATGGAATCCAGATTCCCAAGAAAACTCATTGTTAACCCCCTCCATACCCAGCTAATAAGGGTTTATATTGTCTATACCTCGCTAATATTGTGTACGCCGACAGAAAGTAGTATTGTGGTTAAGGTTTCTTCACAAATATGCGGTTAGAGAACTTGGAGGAGCTTCTTT